CACACACACCAATCCCTCCCACCCTCCAGGGCCGCGTCATCTCTACACTTACTTTTTCACGTCTCTGCTCCCGGCCCAGTATCCGCCAACGGCCACCGTGCCCACCGCCATCACAAAGATGATCACCATGTTGTAGTCTAGAACGGGCTCGCTGGGTGCGTACATGGCCACCTTGGCCGAGCGACCAAAGCTCTACCAGAGAGGGAGGGAGGGAGGGAGGGAGGGAAGGGGAAAGAGAAGAGCAAACGAGTGCAACGCTGAGCCAATGTTGTTCTCCTATGGGAATTAGTCCCAGGGAGCTCGGAGGGTCTCCCATCCAACTCCTAACCAGCCCAGGCAAAGGGCTGGCCGGTCTGCCTCAATAACCTCCAGCGATGAAGCAGCCACTGCTTGAGGAGGGAGGCTGTTCCTTCCGTGGCTTCAGAGCTCAAGTCAGGATCTCAAAATCCCGCTTGGTCCGCACTTGGGGCCAGGGAGGAAAAGCCCACCCCTCCCTCTTCCCTTCACAGACTGGAAGGCTGCTGTTGTAACCCTCCCCAGCCTTCTCTTCTTTCACAGACCCGGTTCCTTTTAGCTACTCTGGGTAGGATTTGGTAGCTTCTAAGGCAGCAGTGTCAAACTCAAGGCTTAAATCTTGCCTGCGGTGACTCTGGCAGCTAAAACAGGGCACACGGGGGCAGGGTGGGCGGGCTGCGCATGGCCTCTCCCATGCCCAGTTTTCATCCTGGACGGTCTCCTGCAGCACTCTGCCAGCCAAAATGGGGCATCTTGACTTACAGTAATTGGGACCGAAGCTTCTGTTCTTAGGTGATGCCTGAGCGAGGCACACCCTATTTTATGATCTCTTTGCCACGGTCAAGCAAATCGCTGGGTAAATGAATCTGGCTTCACCCTCCTCGTAAGTCCCCTGAGAAGGTCATCAGTGGTGGTCAATGACCCCAGGATACTGCGGCTGTTGTAAGTCCATGCCGGTTACCAAGCGCCCAAATTTTGATCATCTGACCACCAGAATGTTGTGATGGTCATAAGTATGAAGACTTGTCATAACTCTTCAGCACTCTCATAATGGTTGTTAAACAAGTGGCTGTAAGTTGAGGACTACCTGTGGTCTCCTTCTGGTCTCTTATCTTTGGGAAGCAGCCAATCCTCACACAAACAGTTCCCCAAACAATCCACTTTTCCACAAAGGTATTTAAAACTCTTTGGTTGCCTTTTGAAATTTCCCCCCAAACCCAGTTTTGACTGGTTGCCTTCTTCTATTTAAATCTTTTAGTTTTATTCTATTTAAATCTTTTCAATCTTTTAGTTTACTCTTATTTTACAACAAAGTGGATATCCACACATGAAAAAGTGCCTGCTCACTCAACCCAGTAGTACAGCGAAACCAACACAAGTCATAAAAAGGATCACACTACATCAAAAACTGCCATCAGAAACCACCACCAGACTATATTATAGCCACATGGATGGAGTCAGCACACAAACCAACTAAAGCCGCCCCCCCATGCCCCAAAATGTCCCAAGTGAGGCGAACAACCCAGCAGCCCCAGAGGGAAAAACAGGAGTCATCTACCACATGCCGCAACGAGGGCCCCAACCACTACGCAGGGCAAGCAGGCAGAAGGCGGGCAGAACTCATCCAGGAACGGCAACGAGCAGCCAGAAGACGCGAGACGGAGGCTCTTGGATCTAGTTTCAACTGGGGAACCGTGACCCCCCCCCCCTGGACCAAGCCAAGCCCCAAAAGAAATGCCAGGGGGTTTCCAGAAGTCTGGCACTCTGACAAATGGGCCATCAATCGGACCCCAAAATGAGACCTACACCGGGTGCAAAGGAGACACTCAGCAAGGCCAAAAAGGGAACAAAGAGAGCGAAATGCTCCCCCTCCCAGCAATCAGCACACAGATGAACTCCAAGATGAAGGTCAAGGTTTGTCGTATCTGTCACCACGGAATGTACTTTCAGCTTCCCTATAGGACATCCCGCTCATTGCCCTGCCTAGGTACTATTCAAATCACCCAACACCCCCCTGCTCAGCTCTTAAACAACATGAAATACATAAACATAGAGCTAAAAGAACACTTCTTCCCCAGAAACACGTGTGTTTTAAAACATACTTTTCAAAGAGAACATACAATGCTGCCCCCATCCCAGTTAAGCAGACAGCAACAATTGTTTGTATACTGTTCCATTTAGTTTTTCTTCTGGCCAGAAACCAACCCAGGATCAATCCCCCTCCTAAAAACACCTTGCAAGAGGCCCAACTGTCCTTTTGCCCCCGAAAGCGACTGAGGATATAGGTTCACCGGAGAAAGGAAGGGACATGACCCTCTCCTTGGTCACTCGTCCAGTGAGGTGGGGCAGGTCAAGCAGCTGCAAAACATGGACAGGGTGATATAAGCGGTTACATCTCTCTACTGAAGCAGCCCACAATTTCTGCAGGTTGCAACTATACAACTGGTCTTCTGCAGGGGTGCAGGGGGAAATCATTTCCCCCAGGCTTACCTGATGACACTATCAGAATCAAACTAGGAATATTTTGCGTAGAATAGCTGTCCTCCTGTCTGCTTCTGCTGGGCTGCCTTAAGTAGGAACGGAAGGAACTCTGGTGGTCTCTCTCTCTCTCTCTCTCTCTCTCTCTCTCTCCCTCCCTCCCTCCCTCCCTCTCTATCTCTCTCTCAGCAGGGCCAACAAAGTTCCCCACAGAGGAGTTACAGAAATGATGAGAAAAACTCTTGGCAACGCTTGACAATTCCTGGAAGGTTGATGAGACCCCAGAAAACTAGAGAACAAAGGCAGAACACTCTGCTACATGAAGCGACGAGATCCCCTCCAAAGGGGGACTGGATGGTCACCTGTCCAACTCAGTACTTTAGGACCCCAGTCTGCAAAGCAAGAGCCTACCAGTAAAAAAATGAAGACATGCTAATTCATTAAGCACCACTACTCTTTTTCCTTGAGGGAGGGGGGTTTATATTCGTTCCACAATTTTCCAAGGTTTATCAATTAAATAGTCAATGTTATTTTCATTGGAAAAATGATTCTGCTTTTCAGTTTCCCCAACATTTTATCTAGAAGCACCTCCTGCTCGACTATGTGGAGGAACACCCAAACATGGAGAAGTCTCACCTGTCCTATGTCCAGCATATCTGCATAGCTGAGCAGGGCCACTGGGATATCAATTTCCTCATACTGACTCCTGTTACCGGCGGGGGGCACCTGATGAGAAGAGTAGAAAGGAAAGCAGCACCTAAATACACCACCTAGGAAACATCAACTCAATTTCTGCGGCCCGAAATCTAAACTCACCAGCATCAGAGCAGCTTTGTTTAACCTATATAGGCATGGGAGGGAGATCTGAAGGTGCTAAAAATGTTACAGCACGCGTGTGTTTAGGAACACAAGGCCACGGGAGGCCAAAGAAAAGGGCAGACAGATCAGAATCGCCTTAAACCTTCATGCTTGGGTTGTGACCATGGCAGAACTTGCAGAAATGGCTGAATTGATGTTTGATTAGGGAGGGAACAGCAGCTACTGTTATAGAAGACCAAACCTTTTAAAAAGGACTTGGTGCAACTATAGTGGATAAAAATGAAGGGATGATTTCTGAACGTAGTGATTCTTCAGGGCTGAATAAGGGAGAAGGGACCCGCGTGATGCAACTCAGAAGGGGGAAAGAGTTTCAAGGATGTGTATAACAATCGAAAGTCACTTCTTTACTATCTTTTGTCTTCTTTTTGCTTTCTAATGTCCTGGCGCTTTCTTGCTTTCTATCTTTTCACTTGGTGAAACATTTCCTTAACGAAGATGCTACAAAAGGGAAAAGAGGAGGAGGAGGAGGAGGAGGAGGAGAGACCTCCCGCTTCCCTCCCTCCCTCCCAGCCAGGTCGGGGTCCCCGCGCGCCCACTCACCAGCCTCTCCTTGCTGACGATCAGCAGCCCCCGGGCGCCGTTCACCTGCGCGAGGCGGACCTTCTCGTAGAAGGTGCAGTTGCCCCGCATCACCATGGGCACCGCGTTGCCGAAGCCGCCCTCGGGCACCTCGGAGGCCGCGCACAGGGCCGACACCGTCTGATCCTGCAGCGCCAGGAGAGACTGCGCGGGGCGGGGGCGGGGGGGAGGCCTTCCGTCAGCCAGCCCGGCCGGGACCGCCTCCCCGCCCGCCGCCCACCCCCACCCCCAGGGACTCACCGCCTTGCCTAGGTCGTGCGGCAGGTGGGCCCACTGCGAGTTGAAGAGGATGCAGTAGTCCTTCCCGCCGCCGCCGCCGCCGCCGCCGCCCTTCTCCGGGAAGACGCGGGCCACGCCGTACTCGCCGGAGACCTGGCGGGAGGCAGAGCAGCCGGGACAGTTCGGGGACCCCGCCGGAGGCCAGCCGCCCCTCTCCCCGCCTCCCGCGGAGGGACGCTCACCTGGGCAACTAGCAGCGCTAGCACCCATCCGCGCGGCCCGCCAGCCGCCATGGCCGCTCCCTCTCGTCTCCCGCGGGCACCGGAGGAACAGCGGGGAAGGCCGACCCGCGCCAGGCAGGAAGCGGGCGCCCGTTACTTAGCAACCCCGGAAGCTCCTCCCGGCCGGCCGGGGAGCTTCGCGGCGGGGGGGCTTCCGGGAGCGGAAAGGCGGAGACCGTCGCGGGGCGGCCCGGGAGCCCCTCTCGAGCCTAGTCTCGGCGCCGGAGCGGAACGGGTTTCGACCCAAGGACCCTCGCGCGGGAGCCCCGGAAGTCTCGGTGGCCCGCGGAGGCGCCCTCCGGTCACGTGACCGCACTCCCCGTCGCTCAGTGGAGGCGAGAGGGCGGAAGTGACGCCACGGGGGTCCCGGCCGCGGGATCCCCGGCGAGAGCAAGATGGCGGTGAGCGGCAGCCGCGACGGCGGCGGGGTGGGGGTCAGCGGGTGGGGGCGGCTTTCCTCCCCTCCGGGTGGCGGTGAGCGGCGGCGGGTCCTGACGTCCTTCTGCTCCGGCCGCAGGACAAGGAGAAGAAGAAGAAGGAGAGCATCTTGGACCTCTCCAAGTACATCGACAAGACCATCCGCGTGAAGTTCCAGGGCGGCCGGGAAGGTGAGCGGCGGGGGGGGGGGGCCTGCCAGTGGGCTGGGCGCCTGGGTTGCGGTGGCACGGAGAGTGCCGGGCATTTCTCCCTTTCTCTCCCCACAGCCAGCGGCGTCCTGAAAGGCTTCGACCCGCTGCTCAACCTGGTGCTGGACGGGACCATCGAGTACATGAGAGGTGGGTGCCCGAAGCCCCCTACCGTCCCCCGCCCCCGACCGGAGGGAAGGAGGCAGGCGGCGGCGGCCCTCGGGCTCTCCCCATGAGGGGTGGGAGACGGGGGTGGGCGGGGGCTTTCCTCTCGGGCGTTTCGTGACCCAGCTAGGTAACCTCATCGGGGCTGGTGGGGGGGGGTCCTGCTCTCCTATCTGCTGCTCTGGAGCCGGGGCCTTTGCCCAGGGGCGCCTGCCCATATAACGCTTTCTGATTCCCCCCTCCCCCTTCAGATCCGGATGACCAGTACAAACTCACGGAAGACACCCGCCAGCTGGGCCTGGTGGTCTGCAGGGGGACCTCAGTGGTCCTCATCTGCCCGCAAGACGGGATGGAAGCCATTCCGAACCCCTTCATTCAGCAGCAAGATGGCTGACCATTGTTCTGTGGTTCAAGACCTTAGGAGGAGTGGAAGGCGGTTTCTGGAAAGGAGCCACATTTGCAGGAGAAATTATTTTTTTATGCTCGTTTTGTATAGGAGGAGGAGGAACTTATAATATTTGTTCTTGTTTTGCGTGACACTGTGTGGGGCCAAGAAATAGTCTTACAACGAGGTGGTGTCTTTTGTCTGCAGTGGGCTTGGACCATCTTTTCTGCTGTAAACCATTGGAATCGCATTGGAAAGTTTGGTAAAATCCGACAGACTATTCTGGTTGGTTCCTGTTCCTTTAATCTCTGGATAAACAATCTGATCGCTCCCTGGTTTGGTCCTGTGTCCTCAGGCCTTCATCTTTGCTGATAACTCTGTTGTTTTCTCAGGAAGGCATCTAGGACAAATGAACAGTAGCCACGTGAACATTTAGTCAGAAAGGAAAGGTGATAAAATGTGTGTAGTTTGTGAGCATTCATTTTCCTTTTCATTCCTTGTTGAAGGAAGAGAATTTATTTGACAAATAATAAAACGCATCCGGAATCTTCTCACAAGTTGAATGTAGGAGAATGTGAAAACTCATGGGTAGTGCACATTGAGAAAAAATTATAAACTGTCAATTTAAGTGGTAGGCTGGGCTTGAGGCACAACAGCTGTTTTCTTCAAAATGATTCCTGGGATAGAATCTTGAACCTGGTCTGTATCTGCTTGCTTGGTGGCAAACTGACCATCTTTGCTTGTTGGGCTAGAGACTTTGATCCACAGCAAAAAGGTAATTATTCCATTTACATCCTGGCCCGAACAGTGGCCCAGCTTCCTTTTCCAGTTTCTTGCCTCTCTGGGCAAGCTGCGTTTCTATCTTGGAGACAAATTGGGCAAGCAAGGGCTTGTATGTCAGTCACAGGGTTGTGGTGAAAACCTGTGTTTGAAAGGCGGGGGGGAAAACCATTGGCTGCAGAAGTTGGGAAAGTAATCTGCCAACTGTTGATAACAATTGTCTATACCCAAATACAAGATTTTCCAGGCCAACTCATTGAGGGATAATTTTTGACTGTAAATTTCTCTGTACTTAATACCATATTGTCATAATGAAGAACATGTTGAGGACTAAGCAGACTTTGATGGACAATCACTAAAATGGATGACTGTTGAGTAAAAAAAAACCTGAGGGAAGAAAAATCTGAACTCACACCTTCCAATTTCCATTGAGGTTCATCTTGGCCCTCTAAGGGGGCTTCTTACCACCTTTTGCCACTGACCAATAACATGAAAGGTGTGCTGTGTGAATGAGAGTAAAAGTGAGGTGCTAAAATAAAGCCTTTAAAATCCACTGTAGGCTCCTATAGGGTCTGTAGGTCGCTGCTGCTCCTATACTGCATAACATCCCTAATGTTAGGAATTTTATAATGGAGGGCAAACTTATAACACCAAGTAGTCTGAATCTCAAAAGATAAGGGTGTTAAAAAGGAAGATAACACAAATGGCAGTCAGTCGTCAAAAATGGTTCTTTGGGCCAAGGAGGGATTTGCCCATGGCTGACTTGTTTCACCAAAGGTACATGCGGCCTCCCAGGCACAGTGTAGCCCCATCGTTCCTGTTAGGGTTAAGTCTTTTGAAATTCCATTTGTTGCAATGTTTAGGTAAGGGTCAAAGACTTGGGCAGCTGAGCAGTTACTAACATTTCATCCTTCTGTTGTATTATGCAACTCGAGGTGGCAAACATTCTTAATACTCCTGCCTCCTCTTTTCCTCATAACAGCCCTGGGCTGTGCAATCAGAGAGAGAGAGAGAGTGGTGCAAAAGTCATCCAGCCAGCGCTGATGCCTAAGGCGGGACTGGAACTGATGGTTTCTCGGCCTGCACCTTTGCCCCGATACCAAACCGCCTTCCCACTAGTTACCTTGTGTCACCATTTCTAACCTCAGGATTGGTGTTCCTTCTCTTGTACGGAAACAGTTGTACTTGCTCCAGGCGGACAGGCAAACAAGTTTGCCACCAGGCAGCAAGTGGGCATGAGGGGTTGTGACATGGGTCCCTGGGTAAAGGAGCCTGGCCTCTATTTTTAGGGTTGGAGTTGTGTCTATATCGGGCCTAGCAACTGCTCTGCTGGCCCATCACCAGGGTTTGAACGGGAGCCAAGGTCACAGGACAGGAAGGCGTTTTATTCTGGGTTCGGCTTCTCGAGTCAGCCAGCCGCCATGGATCCGTCCCCGTGTGTGGCAGTTCAGGCCAACCCTGAGAGCGATGCAGTCCTGGAAGTCGGGGGAAAGTGCTTCCCGGTCAACCGGTGGGCCCTGGCCCGCCACAGCAGCTATTTTGAGGCCATGTTCTTTGGTGGCACCCGGGAATGCACAGAGCGGCACATCCGGATCCAGGGGCTTGAGGCGGAGCCCTTCCAGGCGCTTCTAGACTTCACCCGGACAGGCAGCCTTGGCATCACCCCTGGCAATGTCACCAGCCTTCTGCAGACGGCTGACTTCCTGCGGCTGGAGGCTGCTAAGAGGCGCTGTGAGACCTTTCTGGAAAGGGAGCTGCATGTCTCCAACTGCCTGAGCCTCAGGGCCTACGCACAGCGCTTTGCTTGCGTGGCACTTGGTTCTGCTGCCCTCAATGTGGCCCTCAGCCACTGGGCCGACGTGGTGACCCATGGCGAGGTTGAGGAGCTGCCCAAGGAGGCTCTGATGGAGCTGCTGCAGAGTGACGAGCTCTTTGTGGCTTGCGAGGACGTGGTCTTTGACACGGTGATGCAGTGGGTAGTGGCCGACCTGCCCGGGCGGGCCAAGGATTTCCTGGAGCTGATGGGCCTAGTGCGAGTGCCCTTCCTCAGCCTCCCCTTCCTTGGCCGCCTGGTGAAGAGCAGCCAGTGCCCCGGGATGGGCACTCCGGCTCAGCTGCTGAAAGAGCTGGACCGCTTCCCACCCCCCAACTGGCGGGATGCTGCCCAGGCCCCCTGCGCGAGCCGGAGCTGTGAGACTCTCTTTGTGATGGCCGGGAAACGTGACCAAGAACAGCAGGAGCTCTTCCACTTCCTGCCCAAGACAGGGACCTGGCAGGCCTGCTCGCCGCTCAAGCGCAGAAACCTCACCCAGTATGCTGTGGCTGCCGTGGGTAATGCTCCTTCCCCAGGGGGGGAGTGGGAGAGGGTGGGCTCTGGGCTGCAGCCCCGTAGCAAGAGGGGGGCAGGGAGAGAGCCATGGCTAAAGCAGCTCTTGGCTTGCTCTACCCTCTAGAAGCCCCCTCACCAGAGCTGCCCGGTCATTGGAAAGGCTCTTCGGCTCTCTGCCCTGGGGCTGGTTCCTCGCCTTGTGGTTGCTGGGCCTTTGGCCTCCCTTCCCAATGCCCAGGGTGGAACTGGAAGGAAGAGAGAGCTGGGATTTGAATCTGGGACTCTGCTCCAAGTCCTGATGGGCTGCAGGCTAGGAAGGGAGGGTCTTCTGGATGCACTCTGGGCAGTTGCTCTGCTTCTGGGTGGCAGGGAGCCCCCTCACTTCCGAGCACCACGTGGCTGGCCAGGGTAGGGCCTGGGCAATTTGGGGGGAGGTGCCCCCAAAGTATATAAGTGGGCGATTTCGAAGCCCTTTGGGAGGCCATTAGGTGTCGTGGCCAAATAAGGAACGGATTGTTCTGAGGCAGCCTACCTTGGGGCTCCCCTTCTTGGGCGACAGCTGCTACCGGGGCTCACCTTGGACCTTTGGCTCCAGGCAGGGCTCTCGCCCCTCCCCCTCGGTGGGTGGCAGTCAACCTGCCCCACTTTGGGATGCTCAACTGGGTGCTGCTGTGAACCTGCCCAGTGCCATGCTGGTGCTGAGGTCCTGGGGGAGGCAGGGAGCCGCCTCCGCCAAGCCTTTCCTTTTCCCAACCAGGCGCAAAGTGCCAGCCTTCCCCGGGCACAGAGCCTCCTCCTTTCCCTGTGCTCTCTCTGCAGGCAACCTCCTCTTCGTCACGGGAGGGAACTTCCGGGAGGAGTTTTTCTGGGCCCCTGTGGACTGGGTGTGGATCTACAACAGCTGGGAAGACAGCTGGATGGAGGGGCCAGCCATGAAGGAGGCTCGCGATAGCCACTGCGCAGTGGGGGTTGGCTTCCACCTGTATGTCATGGGGGGGAGCACCCTGGAGGGCGTCACCCCCAGCGTTGAGCGCCTCGCCCTGGCGGACTCCTCCTGGAAGCCCACCCACCCCCTGATCCACCCCGTGGAACGGGCTGGAGCCATCGGTGTGGGGACGCGGATCTACGTGGTCTGTGGCCTGGATGAGAACGGGGATGTCTGCCGGGCTGTTCAGCGGCTGGACATAGAGACGGACATGTGGGATGTTGTTTCTTTCTCACCGTTGCCAAGGTGAGGAGTGCCGGCTTTCCCTTTGGGGGAGGGGGTGGGCTGCAGCGAGGGGAGGACTTAGATGTTCCCTGGTGTCTTGTGTGGCCAAAGGAGAGGTCAGGGCCAAAGGGGGACTTTGGGACCATCTCTGCCCTTCCTCAGATGTGCTGTTTTGGGGAGAGATTCCTTCCTCGTGCCAGGTTCAGGCAGACGAGGCTACCGTTTGAAGGGCCACCCCAGATGTGGAGCACCCCATTACAGCTTCCCAACCCGACTGAGCTGTTGGGCTGCTGGCAACTCAGGCTCTGTGGGGAGCTCCAACAGTGGATCCAGGTCGCTCCAGAGACCAGTGTTGTTCGTGGGGTGGCTCCACCCCCACCCCCCCGCCCTACTTCTCTTTCCTTCAGGTATGACCTCTGTGTGGCAGCCTTGAACGGGGCCCTCTACACTTTTGGAGGGGGGGCCTTCCGCTTCGACGTCTACACCGACGAGTGGACCCCTGTGGAGGATGATGGCCTGGCTCAGAAGTTCTTTGAAGGATGCAGCTCAGCCAACGGACGCATCTATCTGCTGGCAGAGAGGCGGGGGAATGCTGCGGTCCCAAACATGGTGATTTTGGACCCCTACAAAGAGACGTGCCAGGACCTGGGCCACCGGCTCCCCTGCCCACTCCCTATCCATGGCATGGCCTCTGTGCGCAGGTTCAACACCTGGGGGGGGCCAGGCATAGTCAGAGGTGCTGCCGCCTCTCTTCTGAACAGGTCCCCAGGGCAGAGATCAACCTCCACGGAGGGTACACCTGAGCATCCCTGTTCTGGCAACATTGGCCCTGAGACACGAGGGGGGATTCCTTTCTCAGATCCAGAGCGGGAGCCATCTTGGCTGTTCCCTGGTGTCAGTCCTGGAACCCCCAACTGAAGGTCCTCCAGCCCCCATGGAGCCGGTCCCTGCATTCAGCCTCAGCGCGTCCCACAGGCTGAACACACCCAAAGCCCCCAAGCGCTGCTCTTCAGGCCCCGTCTCACCTTTCTTGCTCTCCCCTGGAAAGACACCCCCCCCCCTCATCTTTTCCAATATCCTTCCTAAAATGGGGTGCACAGGACTGACCCATGCTGAAACACAGGGGCCTCTTTTGGTCCTGGTTTGACCTACTGATGCAGCCGGGGATGTCATTGCTACAATTGGGGAGGTGCCATCTGCCCCCAGGAGTTTGTTTGGTTTTAGCAATGTGGCTGATCACTGTATTTAGACAATTTATATGGCCACCTAGCCAACGTACAGTGCAGGGCGGCAGACAGTTCAACCAACCAACAGTAAAATCAAAAACATAATGACATAATGCAGATTACATCGCAGGCAATTCGGCAGCTATCCAGATCTGTCAGGATGAATGAAGTTATTATCCTCTTCCATCCAGATGCCTTAGTGGAGAGCCTATTCCAGACAGAGCCGGTCAGATCGCCTATTCCAGACAGAGTTTCCTTTGATTCACTCTGAACCTTCCTTGCCAGGCGCTCCTTGGGGGGTTTGCGCACCTGCGCCTTTGGGCTTCGCCAGAGGTGGCATTCAGCAGGTTCTGACCAGTTCTGGAGAACCGATAGTGGAAATTTTGAGTAGTTCAGAGAACTGGCAAATACCACATCTGGCTGGAGATTTTACAGTATCCTTCCCCTGCCATGCCCACCAAGCCACGTCCACAGAACCGGTAGTAAAAAAAAATTGAATCCCACCACTGGGCTTCGCCCACCTCCTGCTTCTGACCCGCTCTGGGGCCCTTTCCAGAGCAACTCCTGGCCTGAGCTTTGTGTTCTGGCTGGGATTCTTTTAGGGCAGTTTGAAATCTCCCCCCCCGCCCCGCCAAATGTGGGAATGACCTTCCTGGCTCCCCTTGTCTGCCAGGTTTTGCCCCTCCCCCCCTTTGTCATCCTGGGAGCATTGGACGTTCTCCTCCCCTCCCCCCCCGCCCGATGATTATAATAGCCCTAGACTGGGGTCACTGTGATGTAGTTCCCCCTTTTTTGAAAACGGACTATTTGTAGGGAGGATGTTCCCGCTGGATTTCCTTTCTCAAGCCTGGGTTGGCTTTGCTGCAGGAGGTGGGAGGTGGAGATGCTGAACTTGATCTCCACGGAATCCGTGTTTTTGCAGATTTGTTTGTAATTTATTTTCTATTTTTTTAATTAGTCTTTTTAAATTTTAGGCTTATAAGAGAATATTTGTACTTCAGGTTTGAACTTCAGGATTTTTGATGCTCTCTGTACTTTTTTTTTCTGCAAACATTTCTGTTAGGTATAACATTGATACCAAATATGGTTTGGGTGAATAAATATATAAAACTTAGATATCATGGTTTAAGTGCTTATCACTTTAAGCACAATGCAGCAGGCAATTAGCCGATTAAGGGTGCGGTTAGAAGTTACAATATAAGGAAGCATTAGAAGCTGGAAAGCTTGCTGTCTGTAACTGCCTGGCTGTAACTGTGTGCTTACTGTAACTGTGTGCTGCTGCGAGTAACTGTGTGTTACTGTGACTAACTGAGATTACTGACTGTGAGTGCCTGTGACTGAACTGTTATTGTTTGCTACTGTTTGCTGAATATCCAGCGTTTGTTTCTCTGGAGAGTGAAACCGGAGGAGGAGAAGATATCTTTATCGGCTGATAAAGATATTGCAAGGACTCTTAACTTGGACTATACTAGTGAGTCTTACTGGATGGAAATACTGTGAATGACTTAATGGACTGAATGACAATGCTTAAACTCTAACTGGATTAAAAACTATTTAAACTACAAACAGTGTTTGTGTTCAGTGTGTGTATACTCTGGGGCCCTTCCGCTCTCCTTTGGCTGCCTGGCTTGACTACTGCTGCAATACTCTTCTAGGGGTTAATTCCCAAACCCTAACAATTTCATTATCCAACAAGGTAACAATCAGTTTTAGGCTTATGTTTTTAAGTCGTTGGTTTGAGTACCTATTTATTTGTGTCATAAATTTATACATCTTTAATAGTAACATTTAAGCTGGATTCTTACTTATGGTTTATGTATACATTTATTTTAAACTTAAATTATCTCCATCTGAAAGTTAAGCATACCGAGTTGGAATGTAAACTGTGTGCCAAATAAGTTACTCCAGGTGGTTTCCATACACCAGGGCGACCCCTCAGCCTAGCACGTAACGGGGTCATGTGGTGCCGGCAAGAGAAAAACGGACAAATTGTACATCCGCAAAGACACTGAGTCAGGACTTATTAAGGTAACATCTTCAGCGCAGAGATGCCAGAATTTGTGGCACCCTGAATGTTGGATAATGTTGAATTATTGCATGAAATGTTAAAAAGATCTCTCTGTCAAAGAAAAATGGATAAATTGGGGGGTGGAGTTTCAATGTTATTAAATAAAATAAAAAAATACCATCGCTAGCAGGGGTGGGAACCCCTCCTTTCTGTCAGTGTCCGGAGGCAGGCCTCTCCTTCAGACCGCGGGGATCAGCGCAAGACTACCCACGGGGCGGCAGGGGCGGGGCGCACCCAGTCCAGCTGGGAGCCAAACAGCAGAGGCCACTGGATGCCCGGGGCTCGGCGGCTCTTCCGCGGGACAATCACGGGGCTGACCCAACAGACCCCTTCTGCTCGGTCCCGGACTCGCCCAGCTTGGATGCGCCTCGGCGGCGGCAGGATTTCCCAGCACTGTCCCCGGGCAGCTCAGAAGCCTAGGGCGCCGGCGGCAGAGTCTCGCATCTGCGCTGCCCTGCCGGGTGGGGCGGACTGGGGTCCGTGGCGCGCTCAGCAGTCGCGGGGTCTCGCGGCTCCTTTCCGCGAGCAGACGGAGGCTCTCAGGCGGGAGGGCCGGGCTGGCAACGTGGGGCTGCCTCGCGAAGCAGCAGGTCTTCGCGGGGAGACCAGGGCCTGGCGTAGCCGTCGCGCTGCAGCAAGAGCCGGTTGAGGGTCTGCTCGAAGTTGACGTGGTTCCGCGCCATGAACAGATACTCACGCCGCTCCAGCAGGTGGGGGCAGTCGCAGGTGTTGGGCACCCAGACGTACTCGCGCGAGCGCAGAGGGAAACGGTTGCGGTATGTCTGCTGCACCTGCACGTCGTAGCGTGTCTCGGAGCCGACGTAGCGCTTTGAGAGGATCCGTGCTCGGAAGACTGCAGGGAAGAAGCCCACCCGCCGCTCAGCCGCTGAGAGGAGCCAAAGTGCCACTGTCCCGCGGCCTTGCTCCCCCATTCCCCGGTTCATCCTGCACCACCACCCCTCTTGTGCACGAGTGGCCGGCTGCCCCTGGATACGGACTCGGCGCGTTCCTCCTCGCGCGCTACCGCCGGAGTCCCGGCCTGTCTGCCTGAGGCTCCTACGGTACGCCAATGAGGCAGAGCGAAGAGCCGTTTTGAGCGCGGGCGTCTTCCCGGACCATCCAAGCGGATTTCTGTGCAGCCTGAATGGATCCTAACGTGGACTGACTGAGGGAAGGAAGCCGGCGCCACGGGAGACCCGAGTGCTGTGCCCCTGCGCAGCCAGTCTCCCCTTCAGCCCAGCCCGGCAAGGGGAAAGACTACCTACCGAAGTCGCTGTTGCAATAGTGGTGTAACCGTTGCGACTTCCCTCTCCGCGGGTCGCATTTCCCACAGGGTCCTGCAAGGCCAGGAGAAAGAGGGGGGGGAGGGAGAGACGGCCTGAGCTGCTGCTGCTGGCAAGGAGAGGACATTTGGGCCTCCTTCTCCTGGATTAAAGGCAGCAGCCCATGGGGAAATTGCACGGGGGCGGGGGGCAGCATGCTTTTCCAACTGCCTAGACCCACCCCGTTGTTTCTGGTCAAGCTGCCACTCCTCCGATCTGCAACCTTTTCGATGATGCCAGCTGGTTGGGGAGGGGGGGCAGTTCCACTACACATCTCAGTGATTTCCTTAGTGCCAATGTCACAGGTGAGGGCCTGGCGGAATTGCACCTGTTGGTTGTCCTCTTGTTTTACTGAGGAGCTGCTGAAAATCCAATGGGTAAATCTTCTCCCAGTCCTGACTCAAAGCAACAATAACCACCAGGCTCCAATCCCCCTACTTTGGACCCCCTTTTGGCAAGTGGCAGAGACTCTGTGAGAGGAGCAGTGGGCACTGTTGGAAGGCCTAAAGGGCTGTTAGGGAGAGTCTCCTGCCCATGAGCAGCCAAAGAGGGAGTGGAAGATGTCAAGGGAATGGCTCTGATCAATGGTCTGTGCCTGAGTCTAGGGTTGCTATGGCAGCGATTCTGATGTCCAGCGGTCCTGTTGGGCTGCCTGTCCCTTGCTGGGGAGAAATAGTTCCCTGAGATGCCTTTGGGTTGTCCATTATAGGCAGGTTCTCCCTGGACGTGAAGAAGAATTTTCTAATAACAGAGCCGTTCTACAGTGGGACCAGCTGCCTGGGGAAGTGGGGTGGAGGGCCTCTCGTCTTTTAAAGAGAGGTTGAAGAGGCTCCTATCTGGGTGCTGTAGGAGCGGCAGTCTAAAAGCCAGCAAGCCAGCAAGCAAGCGGAAAGGAAACCTGCATTTTCTATCCAGTCCAGCTTGCCCAAAATCTAGTGCATGGCGAGCTGGAAAGGTGGCAGCAAAAGGCGAAGGTAGCTGTGGACACTCTGGCTGGAGGGATCAGAGCCAGCCTCCCTTGAGCCCTGATTCCCGGGCTGGGCACCCCGCCCCCTTAAGGAGGATTTAGAGGCTGGAACCAGGGGTGGGTTTCTACCGGTTCTGTCCAGCTCTATAGAACCGGTTGCTCCGAAGAGCAGCAGACATAGAACTGGTTCTATGTCTGATGCTGTTGTGGCCCACCCGCCCGCCTGGGCTCTTACCTGACCTTTATTTCCTGCTTTTTCAACTGCAGCTGCTTTGCGCAGCACAGCTACGGTTGAAAAAGCAGGGGGAAAGGGCTTTTCCAACCACTGCGCACTTGCACACAGTGCTGCTCAGTTGTCCGGGCAGCTCAGCAGGTTGTAAATTGCACTCGCACGACTCACACATGCGCACGTGACGCTAATAGAACCGGTAGTTATACCAGTCAGATCCCATCCCTGGCTGGAACCTGTTTAGAGAATGCGGGGGCAGAAGCCTAGCTGAACTGGGGATGCTTTGCCTTGAGAAGGGAAGGAGAAGCGTCCCCATCGGTTCTCGGTGGGGTCACGTTCTTCCCTGTCCCGAAGTGCACAACAGGCATTTTAGTTACAGGAAGGCCAGGAGCTGTTTGATCATGGAAGGTGCGACAGACTTCCCTTCGCTGGATGGATTTGAGTGAAGGGTTTGTTTGAGCAGGATGGGATGACCTCAAGGCCCCCTTCCCGCTCTCTCAGAGTCTGAGTTTGCTAGCTAAGGCTTCTCTGCTTCACAGGGCTACCTGCCTGCCAACTCATGAGCATCTCTTTCTAAGGACTCTCTCTCCCCCAAGAGCACGTGGCAGTGTGGCCCAGAGAGCCAATGCCCCCCGCCGTCCCCCCCCCCCCCCCCGAAGAAAGGCCTGACCCCTCTCTCGGGAGCACTCCAGTGGGCTCCCAGTTCAGTTTCTTAGGAGCGGCATTAACAAAGAATAAAGTAGCATTTAAGAAGTTGTGGGGGGGGGCACCACTGGGCTAGAGGATGCCACTGTATATCTGTGGGCCTTTGGGGCCAGAGCTGGGCCACAGGGCAGCTGTTCCACCTAGAAATCTGTCATGCCTCCCCTGCCCATTGCTCCCCTTCCTGCCTCTGCCAGAGAAACAGAAATGGACGGTCTGGATAATTGGGGGCTCTCCCCCCCACCCCCGTGCCTGCCCCAGAGCTACCTGGCACTGTAGGAGTCCTCAGGGGTGCTGGGGTGACCTTCTTCTGGGGCGCCTCCTTGGCCACCTCCTGGGCCTTGGTGAAACGGCGTGTCGCTGCTGTGGCTTCAGAAAAGTCTGCAGGGCCTTCTGGGTGCTGGGCCCCTACCTTCCTGGCCTGCGGCTGGCGCAGAGCACGGGCCTCCCCCGGCGCATGGTGGAGGGTCTGCTTCCTTGGCCCCCAGTACTGGTAGTCTATGCTGAGGCTCTCCTCCTGAAAAAGCACCTGGCAATGGGGTGGGTTGGGGTAGGGGGGTGTTAGCAGAGGCCCAGGCGTACTTGCACCCCCCTCCGGCTGCCTGCCCTTGCAAAGCTGCTCCTGTGCCTGTGCCGTTTTCTTCCTTGCGTTCCAGTTTAGAGAACCAGGAGAAGCCAGGACTGTGTGCCGTTTCCCGCATCTCTAGGGTGAGGCCCACGAGTCCTTGGGTGGCCTGTGCCTCCCACCCAGCATTTAGTGTCCAGAGGTGGCCTCCTTCAAAGGGGCTAAAAACAGTGATTGTCCCATTTCTGTTTTGCGGGGGGGGGGGGTCCCTTCTCACCATGATAAACAGATCCTCGCTTGTGGGTCCAGCTGCCTCCAGGGTCTCGTGCCCATCAGCTGTGCGAGAGTAATGCCACTGGGTGCCTGCTGCCTCGAAGGTACCCGGCTCGTCCACGGCCCACTCCCCGTTGAGGATATAATGCTGGTTTGCTTCCATCAGGGCTGCAGAGGGAGAGAGCACAGGAAGGGTTGGGGGTGCCTGGGTGGGCTCAGGAGGGAGAACTAGGTGGCAGAGCTGGGTGGGGGGGGGGGGGGCTTTAGTTTGGAAGTCTCGGTTGCTTTGAGAAGCAGCCATCTGGGCTGCTGTGCCAAGGGCTGGACTGGCACAGCACAAAGATCCTGGTCGGCCAAAAATGTGAAGGCTGCGGCCCCCTGGCTTTGATCCTTGCTGGCTCTTTGGGTCAGAATGTGGGTGAGCGAACCAATGGTGGGGGGGGTGTTGCAGAAGGCACAAGAGCCACCGTCCCTCTGCTTTGGTCAATCCTTTATCTACTGGACAATCCTTTATCTGAAATGGTACAGGGTCTCCTGCTGTTGCAGGGGGTTGGTCTAGAATACCTTGAAGGTCCCTTCCAACTCTATTATTCTATGTTCTTTCAGGGAGCCGGGGGGGGGGAGAGGAGGAGCACCTCCAGCCACAGTGCCCTCTGACGAGAGGAAAGCCTCCTAAGATCTGGCCAGGAGAGGGAGGCGACATGTCCTGCCCTTCTCTGGGACTGAGCGGGCACTGCTGAATGTGGAGGCAGCCTTGTGTTCCCATGCCCACAGACCCTTGTCTGCTTTGGGCCATTTTCCCTGAGCCAGAAGCTGTCCTGCACGCACACCCAGGAGAAGAGTGGATAACGTCTCTGGGGTGGCACGCTAGGGTGTCCCCTCACCTGAGGCCATTGGCATGCTGAGCCTTATCTTGGGGAGGGGCACCCGGGGGCTGGGGCTTCAGGCTTTGCATCCCCATCGTGGAATTGGGCAAAAGAAGGGCCTGGCAGGATTGGGTGCCCATTGCCCCTCCCTCCCTGCCCACCTTTAACCTCCGGCTGGCACTCTCCCTCCAAGGCTGCCTGCTGGGAGTCCACCCCCCAGCCCCGCCATGGCTGTGGCGAGAGAGGCCCAAGGAGGAAATGCTAAGGCTGACCGGAGTTGCAGCCAGGGAGGAAGCAGCACGGACCTACCGAGATAGTTGCGGCTGTTGTCCATTGCCCTGATCTGTCTGGCTCCGGCCGGAATCTGGGTCACGTTCCTGTACCCCAAGAAACCTGTTCGGGAGAGTCGGAGGGGAGCCGGTCAGAGAAAGGCAGAAGTCTGAGGAGTGGGGCCCAAGGGAAGCGAGGCCTGCACTGGGGAGACCCCTCTGCGGCTTCCCAGGGCTGCTGGAGAAGGGGCCACCCTGGCCTTTGCAGCTGCTCCCCACTTCCTTTTGGAGGACTGGGGCCTCCATGGCCGCTCTTGGGGGCCCTCCTGTCCTGTTCTGCACCGAGAGAGCAACGCTTCCTTCCTCTCCATCCTCCCTCCCTCCCCTTCCCTCCCCTCCTTCCTCTCCCTCCCCCCTCCTTCCCTCCCCTCCTTCCTCTCCCTCCCTCCACCTTCTCTCAGCCTCTCAGCCTCTCAGCCTTTCATCGGACCATCCGTTCTTGCCCTCCGAAGAGGTCAGGCTCTTCCTGCCTACCAGGGGTGGCTTTTCTCCTCTGCCCACCCAGCCCCGTGAGTTTGCCTGATGCAGACCTCCTGGCTTCTTCCCTCCATTTCCGTGCACCTGGTTCAGCGCTGTTTCCTTCTTAATCCTCCCTCGTTTCGTCACCCGCTCCCAGTTTTCTTTCAGGTTCTCCTGACGGCACCCTCCCCTCCCCCTGTCTGTTTTTGACTTCCAGTTATGCCATTCCGGCCACTTCTAGACTCATCCTCACACATGCCAGGAATGGTGGCATGAAAATACCCAACTCTTTTGACGACACCCCCCATGGGCCCTGCCAGGGAATTCAGGGAGTGGAGGAGCGCCCAGGAAGGGCCCATTTTCCATCTCTTTCTGCTGGGAGAGAGGCTGGCCCCGTCTCTTCCTTCACCCTCTTTCCTTTCTCCTCCGCCCCCCCCCCCACAGCGCCATGAAGGAAGCCTGCCCCCTCACGGCCGGCCTTGGCGTCTGCTCTCAAGAGTTCAGCCTGCATCCCCTCATCAGACTTACTCTTAGGTGCAGCGCCAGTCCTTTGCCCGGCGTGCCGACATGCAGTTGGCCTGGCTGAAAAGCGTTGTGTTCCAGAGGCCCCGTCAACGTTTTCTCTGCCTCCTCCCTCACCCGCTTCCTTCACCAAAGGAAGCAAGGGCATTCCCCCCCCCCCCCCCCCCCCCCCCCCAGACGCACGCACGCCCCCCCCCCCCCCCGCCCCCCGGCTTCCTTCAGTTTCCAAAATGCACCCCTGGTTCTCCCCTTGTCAGAGTTCACGGCAACGTCTCTGCATCACCACCCGGGAGCCTCACTTTCATCTGTGCACCCACACCATCCCCAGTTTGGTACACACTTTATTTCCCGGCATGCGCTTGTCAGCTGGAGTCTTTGAGATTGGATGTGAAGTGCGACGGGTGGGACGGGGCAAGAGGGCACAAGGTCAACACAGGCATGGTAGAACTTGGGTCTGACATCTGCAACTGTGTCATTTGCACAGTGGTGGTGTCCTTAGACAGGTGTGATGCCTGGACACGTTTCACCCAGACTGATTCCATACGAATCCTTTTGGTGAATTTCACAGACTCACAATGCGCCTCTCCCTTCATCACACTATTCTTAGCCGTTTATGTCCTGCTTTTGGTCTCCAGGCCGCATTCGTCCTCGGTGGGCCCGGGGGCATCTGCCTGTTGCTTAGGAGTGCTTTTGTGTTACTCTTGTGCGCCAAGAATGCTGAGACTCTGGTGCCCACCCAAGAGTGTTGGTGCCCCCTCCATGGGCAGGAAGGATCTGCGGGGTGCCCTGCTGCCCATCGTGAAGGGCTTCCGCTTATTGGAAGGAGAGAGTCAGGTGCTCGGCCCGCAAGCCTGGAGGTGGGGCTCCTAGAGGTCACCCGGGTCACCCTGCGTGTCAGGTGGGCAAAACCCACCTTCAGGACAGCCCCAGCCAGCCAGCAGAGCAGGAGCAGGGGAGGGAGAGAGGGAGGGAGGGAGGGAGGGAAGGGGGAGGGGAGGAGAGGCAAGGGGCTGGGTGGACGAACGCCAAAAGCCAAAGCTTCACCCACGTCAGCACATTCAATCACCAGAGGCGGGAATCGTCGCCCGGAAGGCTTCCTGGACGAAGACACAGGACTCATTCCTGCCCCCACAGACGCCACAGGCATCGGCCAGGGCCTCGGAGCCCAGGATCCCATCACAGCCGGCTCTCTGAGGGATGGGACAAAGGGTGGCAATTAGAAGCGCTTGAAAGAGACGCCACCTGTTATGGGGGCTGGAGAAAGCCCACTGCAAGGCTGCCCTACATCCCCACTCACCGCTAGAGCTGCCGCTCAGGGATGTCTTGGGGTGGGACAGGGAACCCCCCCCCCCCAGAGTAGGCATTTCTCGCCCCTCCCCCCACCCATAAAGCCGAAGTCTTGTTTTGTGGGTGGGCTGCTCTTCCTCCTGAGCTCTGCTCCTCTAGAAAATGGCAACACCTGCGGCTTTCCTTTAGTCACCTGGTCAACATGGAGGCTGCTGTTGCTGCAGCGCCTCCTTGGTTTGTGATGCACCTCCACACCTTGTGTGGAGTTTTGTGTTTTTATCTTGCTGTGCTTGGAGAATGAGGGCCGAGAATGGGAGGATCTGGGCCACCTGTCCTTCCACTGGCCAAAAGGGGGGAGGGCCAAGGCCAGCCCAAGAACAACATTGAACAATCCAGCCAAAGTTAGTTCTTTATTTATTCACACCAAACAGACGGCATCTTGCCAGAGTACCCTTTACTGCCCCTGCCCAGGGGTGGGATTCTCCCAGTTCGGCCCAACCCCTTCTTGCGATGATCAGCTGGCTCCAAACCAGTTCGCTCCGGCGAACATGTGGGCCTGCCCGCCCACCCCTACTCTTTCCCGGGCTCCGTGTCTTTTTGTTAGAGCACGGCTGATTCGTACGGCACAGCGTTCTGCTGCACCTCAGCTGTTTTCTTCAGCTGCCGTTGAAGGTAAGTATTAGCTATTTTAAACGCGGAGCACACGCGCAGAACATGGCGTGTGTACACGCAAAGCATGTGTTCACAGAACCGGTTGTTATACTGGTTGAATCGCACCCCTGCCCCTGCCCAAACAGATACGCCCCGGGGTGTTTCTGGGGAGGGCTCTCCTAACCCTCTTCCTCTGCCCCCATTCAAGCTCTGGGCTGGGCTGCTGCTTGTCTCAGCCCCCACCCCACCCCGGAATGTGCTTCCTGGGAAATCCTCTGGCACTGCTTCCATCACACCCCTCCCGCTCACAGGCAGAACCCATCACACCCGAGGATGCCGGCTGACTCACCAAGCACCGGCCACTGATGCAGAGTTCTGGCGATGCTGGGCTGCAGGGGGTTCCGTCCAGGACTCGGCCAAAGCTGTAGTAAAAATTGTGCCCAATCGCCAGGCAGTTAAGGTCACAGAGGTTGGCAGCTGGGGGGGCAAAGGAGGCAGAGGGGGCATGAGAGCCAGGCAGTGGTACAAAAAGTACCCCATCATTTGACTGGTGGGGGGGGTTTGGCCGAAAGGTCACACAGCGCCGGACCAGGGTTGAAGTTCTTCAGTCCCTCTCGCTGCCTTTGCTCCAGGGGGTTGGCCAGATTGTGCACTCTGCCCCCTCGCAACTGACTTTCCTCCGGCCCTGGGCAGCCCACAGTTGGGGGATCCCAGCTCACTTTCCCCTTGGGTGGAAGGAAATACTTTAAAGTTCTCTCTCCCCTTTCAGCAAATTCCCATCCCGGCAATGGTGTGTATGTGAAGCACACAACACACACACATATCTAGAGTTCCCAGCAGAGCCCTGATTTCTGGGGCCACTTTGGCACTTCAGTTCTGTCTTGGCACCATTAATGCTCCGCTACACTACTTGCGCCCATCCTCACAACGCAACTCTGGTGGGATTTGTAACCTTGCTGAGCCAGTCAGACATCACACCGACTCTCCACACTTGTCCCAATAAATTGGGTCCCACATCTGGTTTGCGATCAGAGCAGAAGATGAACCAAACAGGAGCAGAAGGCAGAAGACACGGGCTGAATCCCTCCCTCCTCTCCCTGGTCTTCTCCGTTTCCCAAAACACAGCTTCTCGAAAAGGGCAAGGGTATGGCAAGGGTGGATGGGTTTCTTTCTGAGTGTGGCAAGGGTGGGTGAGTTTCTTTCTGAGTGTGGCAAGGGTGGATGGGTTTCTTCCCTGCCTTCCCCAGCTTCACAAGGCTCTGAGGCGCCATCAACTGATGCCACTAGGGTCTTATAGGAGAAGCCACTGGCTGATACCTTGTCCTAAGCTGTGTAGGATGTGAACTGGACCCAATGTCAAAAACCACAAAAATAAGACACAAAACCCACGCTCAGCTGGGGATAGCCTGGCCTAGACAATCTTTTGGGGGGCCCAGCCCCCCTGCACATTTGAATCACTAGACGATGGAAGTTCGGTGGCCATTTGCAAGAGCAGAAAGTTTAACTCCTCCTGCTCAATTCACTGGCAATCAATCTGTTTCCCCACTGCCTCCTCCTGGGGGTTTCCTCTCTGAGGGAAGTCTCCAGCCACGCCCTTCATGGGGACCCAAGGAAATCTCTTCCAGTGGATTGATAGCACATTTTAATCTCATAATGATGCGCTGAGGCTTTTTTCTTGAAAAGGGGGAAGTATTCGTGTCTGCCAGTCATTGTTTATAGAGGTAGGGGGGTCTTTAGGTACACACACCCCCCCCCAGCATAGGACTCCAAGCCATGAAGCTCCCTCCCTTCAGGATGGCCCTTGCCTTGACTTTGGAGCTGGAGAAAGCTGGTCACCACGATCAGGCCCAGCACTTACCAAAGTGAAGCCGGAAAGGAACCCACAGCCAAGCCCCCCACCCCAGTGGCCTTGAGGGCCTGGCTCTCCTCCCCGATGCTCTCACCTCCGTGGAAGGGGACCCACTGGTACTGGGCCTGCCCCCCTAGGATGGGCCTGCTGTTGTAGAGAGCGCACTGCATGGCCCTGAAGGGGGCAGTGCCAGCTGGGCAGGCCTGTGAGAGAGAAGGAAGGGAAAGGACCACCGTTAGTACACGACTGCGGGATGGAAAGAAAAGACATGTCCAGGTTGACTTCTTCCCTCAAACGTTCATTCTGCACTGCTCCCCCCTCGCTTTCTGTTGGCAACTCTAAAAAGACCATGGAAATATTTTATGAGTTGACATTCATTCATTCATTCAATAAGTGGCACGCCCATAAGAGCCAACACATCCAGTGAGTGCAACTTGCCCCTGGCTTTCCTATTGACTTTGGGAAGGGCACAGATGGCGATCACACAGCTGTGTGGTAAATGAGCACCAGCTGCCAAACTCCCACATCATAACCACACTGGCTATATGGACGCTGCGATGGCCGTTAAATGTGAGGACTGCTTCATCACCTTTTTCAGTACCATTGTTACTGCAAATGGATGGTTGTTAGGCAATACACAATAAAGTCAACAGCAAGCTTCACACGTCAATCTGTCAAATACGTTGATGACCAGCAGTGAGAGCAGTCTGTCGATGAAACGGCTTGCCTTCAGAGGTTTTGGTTGCTCCATCCCTGGAGGCTTTCAAGAAGAGACCTGGATAGCAGGGGGCGGAGCTAGTGTCGCGATGATACGGCATGCGATCTTGGAGGTTTGAGATCGCTGCCGATATCTTTGCTCCTGGACGGTCCAATTGGATCTCAACTGTCCCGAAGAGACGGTGAAAGTGAAGAGCGCATCCTGTCGATCCCAGGGATACTGCAAAGTCCCTGGTAGATCCAGGAGAAGCTCTTTTTGCCAGCGGCAAAGAGGCAGCCATTAAAGCTGCTGAAGTTGGGACAGCTCCGAAACGAAAGAGAACGGAAAGAGAGAGTGTGCTGGTTTGGTGAGAACTTTATTCTAAGATTTGAAAGGACACCCTAAGGAAAAGAAAGAATCTGTAAAAGTTTTGACAGAAGGGATTAAGCGGCAATTTTAAACAGGAATGTCAAAGTAATATTTTTTATTTTTTATTCTCATTGCTGGATTTTCTACACATGATCTTATATTTTGAAACTGGACTGGTTTTTTTCTTTTTTCATCTATTCTTTTTCTCCTTTTTGATTTTTCTGAGATGTAATCCATCAGATCCCGGTGATTTGTGTTCATTGAGATCAAACAGATGTTCTCTTACTATTTCATTTACAGTTATGTTTTTGATAGGCTGGCCTATAGGATTTTATTTTTTATTTTTTTGCGTGAAGACTGATGCAAAGAATGGGTTAAGCAGCTCTGCTTTCTCTCTGTTGCCTGTTACTTCCTTGCCATCTTCTCTCTTTAGTGGACCGACTGTTTCCTTGATTTTTTTCTTGTTATTTATATGTTGGAAGAAACTTTTTTTTAATTATCTTTGACTTTTGTTGCAAGTCTTTGTTCGTTTTGAGCCTTTGCTTTCGTGACTTTATCTTTGCAGATTCTGGCTATCTGCTGATATTCTGCCTTAGTTGTATTCCCCTTTTTCCATTTTTCGTACTTGTCCCTTTTTTTCTTTCAATTTGCCAGAGAGATCTTTGTGCAGCCATGCTGGTTTCTTATTGGATTTCTTGTTTTCCTTTCTCAGTGGAATTGTGCTGGTCTGGGCTTTTATGATCGTAATTTTCAAAGTTTCCCAAGATTCTTGAGTTGTTTTCCCCTTTAGGATTTTAATCCAAAGGAATCTTTTCCAAGTTCTGAGTTCATTAAAATCAGCTCTTTTAAAATCTAAGACTCTGGTGTCATTATGTTCTGTGGTTTGTGTTTGTGTTATGTTGAATTCTAGTATGACATAGTCACTCTCATCCAAGGTTCCTGCAGTTTCAACTCCCTCTATCACTTCTTCTCTGTTGGTAAGAATTAAATCCAGTATGGCTGTCCCTCTAGTTCCCTCCTCTACCTTTTGGACAATATAATTGTCAGCTAGGTTGGTTAGGAACTTATCTGATTTCTCACTTGGTGCAGAATTAGTTTTCCAATTGATATCAGGGTAATTGAAGTCCCCCATTACTATTGTAGAGTGTTTCCTACATATATTTGTTAGTTGGTTGGCAAAAAGGATATCTATTTTTCTGCTTGATTGGGTGGCCTATAGCAGCAGTCGCCAACCGATGAGCCGCGGCCAACTGGTGGGCCATGAGAAAATGTTGATGGGCCGCAGAGAAATCTCACCCTCAGAGCACCCTCACAAAGCAATTAATCCAGGCTGCGCAGAAACACAAGGCTGCGTGGCCCACATGGTCCGCGGAAACCCTCCCCGCCCACTCACTCCTTACCAGGTAAACTTGCCTGCTAAATTGCTATTTTTCCTTTTTCCAACCATCATCAGTTCTGCTGTGCTGGGAGATTTAGATTAGCTAGAAAGCAGGAAATGGTTGAATTTCTTGCTTTCTAGGTAGTCTTTAGATCTTCGGCTCAGGAGAGCCGAACCTCCCTTAGGACTGAAGTTTTGCTTGCAAGCAAATTCAGTGCAGACTCACAGCAAGCAAATTTGAGAGACTGAGCTAGCCGATGGCAGATAGATAGACCACTGAATGATTCTGTGAGCAACTCAATCTGCCTGTTTTGCCTGATTTTGGGTAAAAGTTGCTCTTTTTTATAAAAAATTCAATATTTACATGCATGGTGTGTTGCGAGTTAATTTTGTAAGTTTGCTTGAAAACAAATTTTATGTGACAGACTGAGCTGGCCAATGGCAGATAGATAGATCTCTGAATGAATCTGTGATTCTGTGAGCAACTTAATCTGCCTGCCTGCTTTGCCTGATTTTGGGTAAAAGTTGCTCTTTTTTAAAATAAAAAATTCAATATTTACATGCATGGTGTGTTGTGAGTTAATTTTGTGAGTTTGCTTGCTAGCAAATTTTATGAGTTTGCTTGCAAGCAAATTTTATGTGACAGACTGAGCTAGCCAATGGCAGATAAGATAGATCTCTGAATGAATCTGTGATTCTGTGAGCAACTCAATCTGCCTGCCTGTTTTGCCTGATTTTGGGTAAAGGTTTCTCTTTTTTAATAAAAAATTCAATATTTATATAAATATTTATAATATTTACATACAAGCCATGCCCAGCCAGTCACATGACCACCAAGCCACACCCACAAATTAGGCCACACCCACAGAACCGGTTAGTGATCCCTGGGATCTAAAATTATGAGTTTGGTGGTCCCCGAGGTCCAAAAGGTTGGCAACCCCTGGCCTATAGTACACACCCATGGCCATGTCATTCTTTTTTTACTTTTATATTGACCCATATGAATTCTGGGATGTTTTCGTCTTTGGTTTCATACATTTCTGTAGCGATATAGTGGTCGTTTACATACAGCGCAACTCCTCTTTTATGGGGTCTGGGTTTTTTGAACAGTTTGTATCCTTCTATCAGTATGTTTCAGTCATGGGTTTCATCCCACTAAGTTTATTTCAATTATATCATATCTGCCTTCATGTATTAGTAGTTCAAGTTCACCCTGTTTGTTCCCCAGACTTTGTACATGTGTATATAGGCACTTGAGGTCTTTATGTCTCACCCTGGCTATACTTCATGTTTGTTTGTGTCTTCCTTCCCATCCCTCCTTTCCCCATTATTTGACTTGCTTTCTAGGGGTTTTTGCTTGGAATAAGGTCCTGGGCGTCCTCAAGATTGGCCTCCCTCCCCCCTCAATTTTAGTTTAAAGGCCTCCTGATAAGTTGAGCCAGTCATTTTCCAAAGACATTCTTCACAATCCAAAAGCCCATCAGGGAGACAGCACAGACCATGGTCCAGGAATCCAAAGTTTTTTTGGTGACACCTGTGCTATATTAGCATACTCCAAACCCTGACACCTGATTGGTCCGCACGGACCGCAACCGGATTGGTTGACTCAGCGGCTGTGATTGGCGCGCTGGGAATCTACCGCGATTGGCCGAGCCGATCGCGGGAGATTCAAAGCGCTGCCATTGGCCGCCGAGCCACGAGCAAACCCTATATGGAGGGTTGCCACGGCTCCAGTTTTCTTGTACTGAACTGGACACAAATAAAGAGCTGAAAGTTACTATGGTCTCACGTCTCTCTGGGAACCGATCCACCCCGATCTAACAACACCAATCCTTTAGCCAGTGGTTCACTTCTAGAATTCGTTGTTCTCTTACTGGATGTTGTCCTTTCGTTGGCAGTACAGATAAAAAAACTACTTGGGCACCTAAATTCCTGACTTTCTTGCCTACCTGCTCATAACCATTCAATATTGTTTTCAAGTCCTTTTTAGTGTCATTCATCCCTACATGTGGTAATAGAAAGGGGACTGTGGGTTTTATTATTTAGGTTCTCAGCCACATCTTTGATTTTAGCTCCAGGGAGACAACATACCTCTCTGTCTGGTCTTACAGGTGGCTTGTTCTATTCCCTTGAGAATTGAATCTCCTCTCACCAGCACTTGCCTTTTTTTTCCGAGGGAGGTTTGGTTTTTTTTCTATCTGTCACAGAAGCATTTGATGGTGTTACTTTTTTAGAGACATTTGATGGTGCTTCTTTTCTATGTGCCTGCAAGTTTTCTTCTAGTGAGAGTCCATGAAATTGATTGCTTAGCACCAGTGGGGCTGCATCAGAGTGGGTTGGTTTGGACAGGGGTTTTGTACTAGGTTTGTGTTTTTTTCTACGAGTGACATGTTTCCATCTGTCTTCTTCTTCTTCTTCTAAGAGGTCAATTCTTTTAGAAGTTGTTTGGTCATTATTATGTTCAATTTGGGCAAATTCTTTTTGCAAGGTTTGGGGTTTCTCATTTTGTGGATTGAGTTTCAGAGGGGTTAGAGTTTCCTCTAGACCCTTCACTTTTTCTTCTAGTAACGTATTTGGTACATATATAGTTTGGGTATTCGATGGGCATAACCCCCAAATTAAGGGATTACAGGGTCATAAAAAGGGAAAAAAATTCCAGACCCATAATAATCAGGAGGGATTCTCCATTTATGAGGAAGCGGTCTGGGCCAGTGGTGGGATTCAATTTTGTTTTACTACCGGTTCTGTGGGCATGGCATGGCTTGGTGGGCGTGGCTTGATGGGCATGGCAGGGGAAGGATACTGTCAAATCTCCATTCCCTCCCCACTCCTGGGGGAAGGTTACTGCAAAATCCCCCTTCCCTCCCCACCCCACTAACCTGCTTTCCAGCTCCGTTCTCCTGAGCAGGGCAACCAAAGAAGACCCAGCCAATCAGCTGGGACTCGGGAGGCGGATAATAGATGGGGGCGGGGCCAATCAGAGGTGGCATTTGCCAGTCCTCCGAACTAGTCAAAATTTCTGCTACCGGTTCTCCAGAACTGGTCAGAACCTGCTGAATAGCACCTCTGCTCTGGGCAGCATTCAGTTGATCTGTCTCTCCATAATTTGGGTGTGCACTTATATGTTGGTCATGCTGCTGGTGACCATGATGGCCACGCAGCGACCATGGGAGTGTTGGATTTCCTCCCAGGCCACGCCAGCAAAGGTTCCCTTGAGCATCCAAGGACTATGGTCAAACCAGGACCCCAAGTGCCTTTTTGCTTGCCCCCCCTCCACCTCCCCATGACTGATGTCTGCAAGAGGCTTCCAGCCTCTTGGTTAAGCCCACCTGCTCCCTATCCAGACTGGCTCAGCAGGGGAGAGGGGGGTACTCACTTTCTGCTCACAGACACGATACTGCCTGGCCTCTGCTCGGCAGGGCTCTTCTCCAGGAAGCCTGTGGCCCAAGAGAAACAGAATAACAGAACAGAGTTGGACGGACAGGATCTTGGAGGTCTTCTAGTCCAACCTCCTCCTCAGGCAGGAAGCCCTATACCATTTCAGACAAATCATGGTCCAATTTCTTTTTAAAAACCTCCAGGGTGAGAGCATTCACAACTTCTGAAGACAAGCCATTCCATGGGTTCCTTCTTCTCACTGTCAGGAAGTTTCTCCTTCGTTCTAGGTTGGATCTCTCTTGGATGACTTTCCATCCGTTGCTTCTTGTCCTGCCTTCACGCATTTTGGGAGAATAGGTTCCCCTCCTTTTCCCTATGATAGCCCCTTAGATATTGGAGCACTGCTATGATGTCACCCCTAGTCCTTCTTTTCAGTAGATTAGACATCCCAATTCCTGTAACTGTTCTTCATGTATTTTAGCTTCAAGTCCCCAATCATTTTCTGCACTCTTTCCAGAATCACATCATTTTTATATTGTGGTCATCAAAAGTAGATTTACCAAGACATTATAAAGTGATATTAACCCTTCATTTCTATCCCTCTGATAATACAGCCTAGGATTGTATCGGCTTTTTTGGCAGCTGCCGCACATTGCTGGAGTCCAAGATCCCTCTCGCAGTTACTGCTATTGAGCCAGGTTTCATTCAATCTGTATCTGGACCTTTGATTTTTCAAAACACCCAGGCTCTCATAAACCTCTGCCTAACCACATATTTCCAATTTGATGGACATACCAACAAATGAAAGGCACACCCCCTGGGATCACTGCTTTCAGGACTTATAATGGAGGTTATAAGGCAATGTCTAGAAGCCATAGCACTCCCACAAATGCAAAACATGGATCAGATATGTAGATGACACCTTCGCCGTAATAAAAAAGGTCCAATTTGAGAAAAAAAACCACTCACTACCCTTCCTGGCCATCCTGATCAACAGAGACTACAATGGCAAACTAGAAACACAAGTATATAGAAACACTACTCTTACCAACCAGGTGCTCCACTACCAATGCAACAACCCAACCTCCCACAAGAAAAACTGTGTAAGAACTTCATATAGATGAGCACAAACTCATTGCAGCAACCTTGAAGAGCAGAAAGAGGAAACAGAACATCTATATAGCATATTCCAACAAAATGGATATCCAGGCAAATTTTTGAAAAAGTGCTGATCGCTCAACCCACTACAGCACAATCAACACAAGCCCTAAAAGGAATAACACTGCCACACATCAAGAACATCTCAGAAACTACCAACGGACTACCAGATGGAATCAGGAAAACACACAAGCCAACTAACACACACACACACACACAAATATCCTAAGTAAAAGCCACAACAGCCCCAAAAGTAAAAACAGGAGTAATTTACAACATACAATGTAATGAGTGCAACAGCCCACAAGGTAGGACAAACAGGCAGAAGACTGGCAGAATGCATCCGTGAACAGTCAGAAGACATGATGAAAAACTCTTTAATTTCACAACATATGGACAGATTCAACCATTTAGCCTAGTGGACAATCCCTTAAGTGCAAGCCAGCACTGTGCTGCAGCTGCCGATGCACTCCTAGGCGGCATCATCAAAGGGAGAGTATCGGGGTCACATGAAGTGGTAGTACTGCTGAATACTGCACTGGTCAGATCCCCATTTGGAATACTTTGTCCAGTTTAGGTCACCATGATACAAAAAAAAAAGATGTTGGGATTCTGGAAAGAGTGTAGAGAAGATCAACAAAGATGATTAGCGGACTGGAGGCTAAAGCCTATGATGAACGGTTGCAGAAACTGGGTCTATCTAGTTTGATGAGAAGAAAGACCAGGGCTGACATGATAGCAGTCTTCTTCCAATATCTAAGGGGCTGCCACAAAGAGGAGGGGGCCAACCTATTCTCCCAAAGTGCGTGAAGGCAGGACAAGAAATAAGGAAAATAATCAAGGAGAGAATCAACCTAGAACCACGGAGGAACTTCCAGACAGTGAGAACAATTAACTAGAAGATCAGCATCCCTTCAGAGGTTGTAGTTGCTCCATCATCCCTGGAGGTTTTTAAGAAAAGAGACTGGACAGCCATTTGTCCAGAATGGTATAGGATCTCCTGCTTGAGCAGGGGGAAGAATGAGAAGACCTCCAAGGTCCCTTCCAACTTATTGTCGTTACCCTTGTTGTAATACTGTATTCTGACAGGCCTTTCCCCTCTAAACAGGTCTCGTGTGCTCACCTGATGCACCTGCGGATCCGGAAGGAGACGCCGTCCCCACAGGTACTGGAACAAGCACTCCAGCTGCCCCAGTGAGTCCATGTCCCATGGGCTGGTTGGTGTCGGTGCGGGGGCTCTGATTCCCGGTCAAGGTCCAGTGGGCCATTGTTTCTCCCCTACTTAAAAGAAGATGGCAAAGTCACCAGTGAGGAGATAGGCAGCCGCCCAGTACCACTCAGCACAGCCTCCAAAGTGTGTGTGTGTGTGTGTGTGTGTGTGTGTGTGTGTGTGATTTCTGACTTTGCCATGTTTTGGCCTATTGAGCAACTCTCTGCCTCTCAATTGGAAGCAGGACTGTGTCTTCTCCTCCATGCCATCCAGAGGCAACCTCTTAGGATGTGCCCAGCTAGACTTTGGCAATGTGGGCCAGACAGAGGGATGTGGGGCCAGACGGCGTGCATGTGTGCGAATGAATAGGGAGGCTGTTCAAGAGTCAGAAGGCCTGTCCCTGGCCAGGGCACAAGGGCAGAAGTCAAGGGAAGAAGGGGGCTCCAAGAGGAAACTCCCCCACATGGAAGGGGCCAAGACAGGGCGGCCCTCAGGAGGCCATGTGGTCCCTGCGTGGGAGAAGGGAAGGGGGCACCTTAGGCCCCACTTGCAGGCCTGGCCTGGAAAGCCAGGAGGGGTCTCTCGCAGGCCAGGGCAACCTCCTCTCTCCCCCTGGCTCTAGCCAGGAATGGGCAGCCTGGCCTTCTCTAACTCCCCCCTCTGCTGGCAATGGCGGGGGGGGCCCTCTCTGAAGCTGCTGGGGCAGTGGGTCCACTTAAGAGACCCTCTTTGGGAGAGGAGGCTCTTGGTCGAACCGCCCAGGCTGCTGCGGTGACTCTGACTCAGGATGCTTTGTGGTGAGCTTGCCCAGGGCTCCCTGCCAGGAACCTGTCTCAAGGACGACTGCTAGGGGCCTTGGCCGTCCCTGTCTGGACTCGTCTCTCCTGATTAGCATCCAGTGAAGGTGACATTTCCCGGCCAGCTTCCTCTCTGGTCCACTGGGCGGGCAGACAGCTGCTCTGCTGACATCTCTGGGTGGCCCCCCACTCCCCATCTTGTGCTCTGCCTGCTGGCTGGCAGGGAGGAAGGGAGGATCAACCCCTTCTCTGCGCAGACGGGACCTGGTCCGGAAAGGCCATGCCAGCTCCTGATTAATCAGGCCTGCTTTCCCTCCCCTCCATTTCGGGAGGGCTACTGGACGCCTCCCCCACCCAACCCTGAGGCTCTAAAGGAGCACTTTGACTGCCCTTGTGCCACTGAATGACAGCTGCCAGAACAGCTTGTGGGCGATCACGGCGTAAAGTGCATCCTACCCTCCCAGTCCTCCCTGGCAGCAACGGTGGCATTTCGCCCCCTTCCCTGCTGCAGATGCCAAGCACAGAGGCAGCTTGTTATTATCATCACTGTGGCACCGTGGACTGAACGGGCAGGTGAAGATGCCTCCTCGAGGGTTTTCACCATCTCCTCTGACCAAGGAAAATGCACCCGATGGCTGCTGTCGGGAGCGGGCAGAGGGGAGCCCTCACGGAGCATGCAGCTGACTGGCATGAGGCTCTGCATCTTGTCATGAACTGATCATGATGTGCCAGGCTGGATCAGGGTAGCCAACCAAGCCCATCAGCTGTGCCAGCACTTGGCTGGCTGCTTGGCACCGGTGGGCACTTTTCAGAAGCATTTTCCTGCACCCAGGCCTCTTGCAGCCATGAGGGAGCGTGGCTTCTCAGTGCAGTGACCAAATTTTCTTGGGGAGAAAAAAATAAAGGATAAGGAAAAAGAGGCTCATAACGATTAAGAAAATGCTAATGTTTAAAATTTTGCTTTACGAAGGAAAATTCAAGAGCAAAACCAAGAAAACAAATAAATTAAATCAGTGATGAGTTCCAACTCCAGCTTTAAATTAATAAAGATTAAAAATAATTTAAAAAACTAACACAAGTGAAATGTGTAAAAAATAAAAAACTGGAGATATTTTTTTAATGAACACACACACATTAAAAGGGGAAGTCATAAAGAAGTGATTCTCCCTTCATCAAGACAGTTTTGATAACTTTCTCTTATCCTATCACAAATGAACTCTTCTTCCCATATCCCATCTCATCTCTTACCTACCAATTCTTAAAGCTTGGTCATTCAGTCCTATTCAACAACAAAAGTCCATTAAGAATTACAAGAAATAACAACACTTATATATTAACCTCAATCAAATAAACCAACTTTATATTCCTTTACTTTTAACAGTCACTTGGCATTTTCCCAAAAATCAGAGTATGTCATTTTTTTACCAGGATTTCTTAGGAGATTTTGTCAGTCTGGGAGTTCTTACTTGAGGGGAAAATGGCAATGCTCGAATTATGGTACTCAGACACATGACATCAGCTGCCTGAGGGAGCGTCTGGGATAGGCGGAAGGGAAGAGGAGGACAGCCAGCAGCAAGGGGGGGGTCACGGTGGCACCTGAGTGGCACCTGAGGAACCAGGCTAGGGACAGAAGCCATCTATGTTGACGATGACTTGATGGCACATAACGTATCACCCTTGATCAACTTGTCCCATGTTTTCCTGAAGTCAAAGGGCACCATGTTCACTACATTCCCGGGTCAGTTGAATGGGTTATTCTGTGGAAAATGATCTGGCTACTTTGACATGACTTATCCTTGATAGAGCCCTGCTGGCTCCTGCCAAGCCACATCACATTCTTTCCTGCTTACTCACAAACCGACAGCTTAGCATCTGTCCTGGAGGCCTGTGTGGCACGACCCTCAAGTTGATTGGTCTGCGATGACCTCAGCCCTCCCTCCTATTTTCCCTTTCTGGAGGCAGAAACAACATTTCCTTTCTCCAGCCCTTCCCTGGCACCGTCTCTGCCCTCCGTGACTTCTCAAAGGTCAGAAAAAAGGGCTGCGGGTGACCAGGATTCTCAAACCGAAGCCCAGGAGACTGAAACGCTTTCGTGGAAGACGTTTCTTTCCTTCCCTTCCAGAAGCACAAAAGGCACCCCCAGACTCTGGGCCATACCCCCGTTTCCCCCCTGGGCCTTGCCTGCCTGCCTGCCTTTCTCTCCAGTAAGAAAAGGCGGGTCTCGAGGGTTGCCCTGCAGAGTCCTCCAAGGAGAAAGGAAGAATGTAGCCCCTCCAGGCCCTCTGGGGACGAAGGTGGCCCAGACCCAGTCAAGGGACGCTCATAAATGCAGTGGACATATCGACCGCCTGGCAGGTCCTTCCAGGGCGGGGGGGCTGCATGCCCCCCCATGCTCCATTTCCTGCCTTCCTGAGCCCAGGGGAAGCCCTCCGGGAGCTACAACACCCCCCCCAGAAGGCTTCCCGGAGGCTTCGAATGCCCCAAAATGGAGCACAGGGGAGTGCTGCATACCCCTCCTATCCTCCGTTTTCTGCCTTCCTGAGCCCCAGGGAAGCTTTCTGGGCGCAAAAACTCCCTCCTCCAGGAGGCTTCTCTGAGGCCCAGAAGGCCCAAAAATTGGGGCGGGGGGGGTGTTTACTGCAGAAAGCAAAAAACAAAACACGCCCATCCGGTCGCATGGCCATGTCCCCTAGCCATGTCCCCCTAGCCACACCCACAGAACCGGTAGTAAAAAAAAATTGAACCCCACCACTGGGGCAGTGGGCTGAAAGGGAGATTCGTCGTCACCCAGTTCTGGAGAGCATTTCTGGGTTGGGCTGGGTGGACTCACCTGCACTGTGCATGCAAAGACCAGGCCAATCAGGAACAAGACCCTCCAGCGGGACAGCTGCCTGTGGGAAAACACCAGAGGGAAATGAACATTTCCAAAACCTTTGTCAGGAAAGGAAGAATATCTTGTAAGCTTAGTGTAAAAGTGTGCACTGGCCAAACTGTAGTGCCAAAGGTATGCAAATGCTTTATTCGCCTCCTTCTGGTTGGCGAGGCCTTCCGACTAGCTTCCCAACTGAGGGTAGAAACCGTGTGGAGAAAAACCGGGAGCAAAAGATGAACGTGCCCTTCGGAGAGAGAAGATAAAAGGCATCCCAGAAAGTAGGGGAAAACCTCAGTCCGGGTCTTGACCATCCCCCAGGGGCAAGGTGGATGGAAGGCTGCCCGGTGGGCCAAGCAGCGCCTGAGCCCCTGGCAAGCACAGCCACGAGGGACCTGCGCTGGCAGCCTTCGCCCTCTGAGCAGCCGGCAAAGGGGCCGCTTTGTCACAGGATTTGCCAGCACACCCAGCGGCAGCAGCCCCGGAGACTCGGCGCGAGCCTTGGCCAGCTCTTGTGGCCTTGTGGGCAGTGGCTTCTTCAGGGAGGCCTCAGGGAATGATCATCCTGCCTGATCAATCTGCTTGCGTCCCGCCTTGGAGAAGGCAAGCCGTGATTTAAAGGGTGCACCACTAGGTTTAAGAAGCGACACAACTTCTGTCGAGCCCAGGCTGTGGGAATGCCAAGCGGATGAAGACAAGTCTTGGAAATTCAACTGACTTTGGGGAGGCAATACCCCTTAATGTGGGCGCCCCCTGAAATGCTTTTGACCCCTGAGCCTGCCATTCCAGGGCCCCTGAGGAGGGCATCCCCAGGCCAGCCTCCCAGTTCCCCCAGCGATGGAGGGGCAAGGTCTCCGAGGGCTGTCAGCCCCACCTGCCCTACCGCTGTCTGGAGCACCTAAAGCAGTGGTTCTCAACCTGTGGGGTCACAGGGGTCACCTAAGGCCACCGGAAGACACATATTTTCGATGGTCTCAGGAACCAAGCCATAATTTTATGGTTGGGGGTCACCATAACATGAGGAACTGTATTAAAGGGTCGCGGCATCAGGAAGGTTGAGAACCACTGGCCTAAAACAAAAGGCTCAGGCGGAAGGGAGTTCCTCTCTCTGGGGCTAAGGGGAGTGGCTGGCAGAGGGGGGGCATTCTCAGTGCAGAGGTGAACAATATACAGATCGATTACGGGTATCGTTAGTGCTATTATTTTATGTATCTAAAAAAACATTTTGACCGGTTAGATGCCACCCCAGTGACCTGGAGTGAGCACATAGATAGGCTGAAAGCAACAGGTTTCAACTGAGCGAAGGCAGGGGGCACGCTGGATGAATTACATGGGTGATGTCCTTTTTGGGGACCGGGCACATGGGGTTAGGGCCAAGTCCTTGGAGGGAAAGGGGGTGCTTGGGGATTGGCACCAAGAAAAGGTTTGAAACTGACGGATCTGCTACCCACAAAAGAGCAGCCTGGGCTGCTGGATTCCAACCATCACAGCCACCCAGAACAGCCGTGCGGTTATGCCCTGGAGATCAGCCAAGCGGGTGGGCCCACTGCCAAGCGGGCCAGCAGCTGTCCTACGTGCAGCCCCACCGCCAGGGATACCATAAGAGGGGAGTCTCCCTTATGAACTTGGTGGTGGAGCAAGGGTCCCTTCCACAATGTCCCCAGGACACAACAGCTCAGCTTCTGCGGCTACCTGTAGATCCTCAACGAGGAGGAGCCGGGGGCGACAGAAGTGAGAGCGAGATTTAACTGGCACTTAAGAGAGGGTCAGTGTTGCAAAAAGCCGAAGAAGAGGCAGACTTCTTGTTCTTCCACCAAGTCCCAGGCTTTGCTAGAAGGCTTAGCCTCCCGGCACAGGTGGCCTGACGTTTCCAGCCCAGGGGCCTTAGAAGGGAAAGGGGGCATTGGGGGAGGGGGGACAGAAAGAGCAGCTCCTGGGAGGGCAAGGGCCTTGTGGCCCTTTGGAAAGGGGAGCAGGAAACGCAGGAAGGGACCAGGCAGAACTTGAGGGGTCAACCTACTTTCCAAAACACCAGAGAGCAGGACAGGATCATTAAAGAGAGATCCAGCCTCCAACCAAGGGGAAATTTCCTTACAGTGAGAACAATTAACCAGTGGAACAGCCTGCCACCAGAAGTTGTGGGTGCTCCATCACTGGAGGCCTTTAAGAAGACATTGAACAGCCACTTGTCTGGAATGGTATGGTGGGGTGGCTCCTGTTGGGGTACTACAAGACCTCCAAGGTCCCTTCCAACTGTGTTATTCTGAAGCAAGGGGCTGGCAAGGGCCACGAATCGCCATCCAGAAGTTGTGAGTGCAGAAACCATGATAGATCTCCCCATGTCTCGTCCAGGGGCTTCTTTCATTTTTACAGCAGGCTGTTTCGGTTTCTCAAGTCCCAGACCGACTGACTTAACCTTATTCGCCCCCTTAGCTCAACGGGCCTCCTCACCCAGAAACAGCGTGACTCTAACAAATTGGCGGGTTGGGGGCTGCTTCTCGGTAGCTGTCGGCTGCTGGAACTAGCATTGCTCTGCGCCCAAGGAAGGGGGAAGGCAGAATTAGCGGCAGCCCGAGGTCTCCGCTTCTAGGCAAAGGGCGAGCACCGCAACGGGACGCATCCGCGACACTTGCTGCTGCCGCTCTGGAGGCAGCTCTGGCTTGTACAGCGGCGCTCGGTGACAGCTTGCAGCTGAACGGGCGGGCCCGGGGCTCCCGCAGCTGCACTGCCCTCCCAGCCCTGCGGAAGCCAGGCCGACGGCTCAGCACAGCGGCCGCAGCAGCAAACACGAATCTCCAGCAAGCTCCAGAAAGCAGCCCGGGATCCGAGGCAAGACCTGGGAAGTCCCTCTTGGACCGGGTCACGGCCAGCAGCGGGAAGCGCTCCAAAGGCCCAGGATTCCTCGCGAAAGAACTTCTCCAGCCACGGGGCCCTTGTGGCAGACTCCGAAGGGCCGGCACGAAGCAGACGGGACGGCTACTCACCAGAAGTTGAGCACGTCGGAAGCGGGGCCCCATGGCTGCCTCACCCACAGCCCTCTTGGCCTGGAGCGGCACCGGGGACAGCTGTCCGTGGGCTTCCCCGGGAGCTTCATACCCATAGGAGCCAAGAAGAGGCTTTGGCAGAGCCAAGCCCGGGTGTGCACCCGCCCTGCGGAAACTCCCTCGCGTTTCAGTTTGGGCGGGTCCCACGGAGGGTGGATTGGGGTGGTAGCAGGGGCAGGAGGGAGGGAGGAGAGCGAGTGCCCAGGCTGCAGCCTCCTCCCACAGCGGGGTGGGGGGGATGTACTGCTGAGCACTGTCAGCCCCCCCCCCCCAACAACAGGAGCAGCAGCTGTTGCTCAGACTCTCAGGGAAAGGTTTGGGTAAGGAACAAGTTGGAGGTTCACCCTTCCGCAGAATTCACAGGCAATTCCCCTCCCCCCCCCCCCCCCCGGGGAGATGTCTGCAACTAAAAATATCACCTGTGCTTCTCATGGGGGGGGGGGGAGCAGGGCAGGGGAAGTGCAAAATTGATCATGGATGGTTGAAAAGCAAAGGAGGAGAAGCCAGCTCCCATCTTTTCCTGGCCAGTTGCCAAGCAGGCCCTGGGAAAGATAGGCCATAAACAACATCCTTAGGGTGGGTGGGGCAGGATGGAGGAGAAGCAGAGATGGGATGGAAGCCATATGGAAAGAGGGGGGGGGGAGCAAGGGTGGAAATCAGGGCTGGTTCCAGAATCAGAAGTGGATCCAGAACTCCCCCGGGGGCAGGATCACCAAGGGGAGATCTGGGGCTTCTCTCCCTCCCTCCTTGCCTCCCCCCACCCCCCACCCCGCACAAGTGTGCACATGCACATTCCCTGGCTCAGTGAGGAGACAGTGAGTCACAGCAATTACATTCAGTCCAAGACAGAGTCAGTCCTGCACGGCATCCTCCACTCAGTGGATGGGTTTCCCCAAGCAAAGAGCCAGAGCAAGGAGGCCTGGGACTGGGCAGGCCTTTCCCTCCAGGCCCACTCCCCAGCCCTGCACAGCATAGATACAGCAGGTCAAATATAGGTGCTGATGCCCACCTGACCCATTAACAGACTTTCCTGGCACTTTGGCACTGCTGCCTCAGCGGGGGACCCACTGGGCTGTTCTCCACCCCAGGTGGGGGGGGCTTTTAACCAAGGAGGGGAGCTGCTCTCCCCACCCCCACCCCCCACCTCCAAGAGAGTCGGTTGGCTCACTCAGGCTCAGTGGGCACCTCCCCCATCCTCCTGTCTCTTCTCAAGCGCTGAGGAAACTGAAGACAAAAATGACTTTCCAAAATGATGGAAATTATCTGGAAGAGGGAGGGGCTGCCATCAAGCTGGAGGGGGGAGAGACCCTGCAGGAGAGGCTGGAAAGAAGGGGGGAGGGGAGGGCCACTGACCACCTCTCTCTAGTGCTCCCTGAGCAAAAGCAGTTCAACAGGTGCAACAGGTGCAACAGGTGTAGGGGTTTTGTATATTGTGCAGGTAGACCTGGAATTTTAATTTTTAAAGCCAATTTTAATATTTTTAATTGTTTTACATGCTATTTTTGGCTCCCTATTTTAAGCTGCCCGGAGTCCCTTGCTAGAGAGAGAGAATATCCAGTTCAATTGTTAGACAGATAAGGTGCCCCCGTTTTCAAGTCCTAGCAACCCCATGGATAGGTTTCCTCCATGGGGACCTATCCTTACTCTGGCACTTCAGCTCTTCTGATAGGGCCCTCTCAACCTCGTAACTGAGAGGCTCCTCCACCCGTCCACCATCTGTGGGTCCTCTTCTCCTCTCTAGTTGCACCCCACATCAGACACCCCCTGAGAGCGCCGGGTCCTCACATCATGTCTCCCAGGTAGGATGTACATCTGTGGGGAAAGCTTAATGCCGTGAAAGTGAATTTTGTATCAAGATTGTTATGTACTTTGACAGCAATGCCTCTTTTGGTCACACTTAAATATTTAAACTATTAAAACATTAATAGTTTCAGTTCTGTGAAAAGGACAAATATAGAGGATCTCCTAGTTAAAACTGATGACTGTAGTTTCAATTTTCTTGATTTTAGACAATTGGGCTTTTATAAGATAGTGACACCTAATAGTATTGTTTTATTTGACATTTGCTTTCATTTGTTGCATTTTTAGAGCTGTCCATCTTACATACAAGACTCTAGGTAGATGTGAACATGGCTCAGCTTGAGAAGTATTTTAGGGTCTCGGCAGTTCTTATTTCTAACTATAGTAGTAAATCATTTTCTTTCCCAGCATTAAAGGCAGTTACATGTCTGGGCCACATTGGGCAAAATATTTAAATCTGACTTTTTGTCTCATGAGACATGAATCTTTTAGTATTCTTTTTAAAAACAGCTGGCAATGAACTTCGGGAAATATGAGCTCATAATGGGCTGGCTTCCCTTACACAAGAGTTAAGTAGTGATACTTTTAAAACTTATGAATTATTATCAATACATATAATTAATGGAGAAAGGTAGAATGGCTGTATATAAAATAAGAACGCCTGTTAAGCACATTGATAATAGTCTAGATCAGTGTCGCCGACCAGTGGGCCGGGGACCACTGGTGGTCAGCCAGCAAATTTTGGTGGTCCGCAGAGAAACATCGCCCCCAAAGCAATTAATCCAGGCTGTGCAGGAACACAAGGCTGTGCCGCCCACATGACCCGTGGGAGCACAAGGCTTGTGTCGTTTGCATTGTGAACAATACGAGGTAGTGGGGGGGGGGGGGGCGGGGGGGGGGGAACTCACTGGCCTGGCCACTGGGTTGCTTCTTCTTCTTTTTTTTTAATAAAGTTTTATTTGGGTTTTCACACACACAAAATACAAGTAAAACATCTTTTTTGAAAATAGCATGGTCCCGGGTTGAACTTCTTTATACAGACACAAACTCAATTTCATGCTCATTTTTGTGTTCTATTCCATATCTTATACTATTCTACATTTTCTATATAGATTTTCCCCTCTTTTAATTTTTTCAATTTTATTTTGATTATCTCATCTCAATTCAAATCATTATATTTATACTTTTGTCTATTCTGTTTCAATTTCATATTATCTTTTCTCATTAAACAAATTTTCTCCTGTAGTTACTAATTGGAGTATGACACCTTTATATCTTTTAATTATATCCATTCAACTCTTATTTAAACTTCAATATATACCTTAAGGTTATGACCTTCAATATAATACATAATACATAACTTCCAATCGAATTCTGCTTGGTACATTCTTATAATACACACTATATTCTTTTTTAAAAAGGATTATAAACATATGTAATTGTTGTGACTCCGGGATTTGAATCTGGTCCATCAGCAGATGTGAGCTCGAGTGAAGAAGATCTGGCACTGAGATTCGAACCTGCATTATTAAGTGATTTTGAAGGTAGCCAGGATGAGGAGGTGGACTTAGCTATGAGAGACGAACCTAATGTATTGAAGGTGTCGGAGTCCTCTCCCTCCCTCGAATCTCCCTCTCTGATTACACAGCAGCCGGTAACAGATAATCAGGAAAACGTGCGAGAGGTTTTGAGTGAGGAGGAGGACTTTGAGGGATCTTGGCTTGACGTGAGAAATAGACGGAGATTGAGACGTCAATCTCAATTGGGAAAGAAGCGTCAAGCCAGTGATTAATTAATGAGACTAACACACCCCCTTAGGGGATAAAAGGAAACGGATTGGCTTGAGAAATTTGCCAGAAGCAAAGTGTATTGTTAGAGCGAAAGTACTGTGAAGATTCTCTGAGGCATTGTGATTTATAGGCACTTCAGGATTGCCAAACAGATTTCAGAACTACTGCTGAGGACTGGAAAAACCTCAGCAGTTATCTTTGTTGGGGTTTGTTTTTGGTTGCTTATATTTTTGGAACTTTAGAATTTTGATTGCTCACCTGTGGATACAGGTGAGACATAACATGTAATTATAAACCCTCATTCCATTCCAATTCAGTTCTATCATTAATAATCATTAAAGTCTTAACATCTTTAACATTTCTTTTCAATTAAATATGATACTTCCTTAAAGACACATATAATCTCCATAATTAATTTTTCCCTTATTTCTCTTCACATATGTTTTGTAAATCATTAAATATTCATTTTGTTACATTTATTTATTGACAAGCATTCTTCTAAGTTACGATAACTATTTTATCAAACATTTTAATCATACATTGTTTCATATTTTTTGAAATTATTTCTATTTCTAATATAACAATACTATCTTATGTACCTTTGCAGAATCCCTTTTTCCATGATTTTCACCCATTATCTCTAAATAGGCCCTGTTTCTCTATATTTTGTTTCTGTCCTTTATAACTTCTTTTCCTTTCTTTCTTCCCTCTCTTCTTCTCCCTCCCCTTTTTACCCCCTTGTCTCTCTACTTCTAATTCTCTCTTCTGCATTTCCCTCTTCTGTTGCTTTCTGATTTTATACTTATTTTTCACTCTATTCTTTTTTTGGGTTGTTTTTTCCAATCTTAAACTTTCCATTCTCTTTCCCCCCTTTCCTTTTTTTCCCCCACCTAAGATTACTTGTTCATTAAAGATGGCTTCTTCTTTGTCCCAATCTTGTTGTGCAGGCATTTCTTGTTGTTTCTCATAGTTCCAAATCTCCATTTCTAAGAACTGAAATATGAAGCCAAAAGAACCTCTCCCTTCTTGTGCATCTTCTTTGTACTTTTTAAGTTCCATTTTCAGTTCTTCTAAAAGTGGAGCCATTTTAAACAGTTTTAAACAACCACCCGATTGATTTTAGTCATTCAAATGCAATAACCAAGAATCCAGAGATCACCAAGTAATCCAAATAGTCCCAAGCTGTTTCTTCTTATTTCTTTTTTCACTTTCTCTTCCTGGGGTTTTATTATTTTGTTGCAATGTTTCAGTTAAGATGTATCTTTTGAAAGTCTTGTTGAGATTTTGCTGTAAGTTCTTTTTAATTCCAGGCAGTCTCCTCCCTTCCAGATCCTGTCCTTTTATTCTTTTTCTCTCCTTTCCTGTTTTCAAAAGCTTTTAATTATCCAAAAATCTTTATTATCCCTTTGACTATTTTCAGCATTAAATGCCTATTAATGTCAAAGTGGATTTTTTTCCAATTTCTTGCTTAAGTCTCTTAGCTGTCAGTATAGGAAGAGGAGGAAAAAAAACAAATCCTTTCCTTTTTCTCTC